TGATGTGATGGCACAGGTTGAGAAGTAAACTAATGGAATTTACACTACTGGAACAATTCACAGTCTAGGCAATACCCAGGTCTGCATAAAGCTGAAAATAATATTTTTGATATAGGTGAAGCTGATACAGCTGATGTAGCTGACACAAGTGGTAATCCATGAAAAAACCTCACAATACGTAGGAAAATGATGTTATAGATGTAGAGTCCCATCAAATGCATTTCAGCTTCTCTAACAGATACAGGCTGTGACATCCTTTGTAAGGTCAAATGCCACTTTCAAACTTCTGCAGCACGTTAAGCAACACACCTGATTTTCATATGAAATTTCTAAAGAACAGGAACTTTAAAAACAAACCTATAAATTAATATTAAAATACCCAGAAGAAAAGGCATGCATAGAGAAAATTTTCAGCCACATTTCCTAAAGCAGTGGATTCACTCATCTATATTTTATTAACTTAAAATAATTCAATTTGAAACAGTTGAATTCATTAAAAATTGGTTTAGAATTGCTATTCAATAAACCAAGATTTCAGAATTCTTAATAAAACTGGGAAAGTTTGACTTTGAATTTCCAAGTACCAAAACCACAGTTTATTATGCTCTCCTCTAAGTTTTTTGCTGAAGAATTAAAAGACTTGCAAAGTTGTATATGCATTAAATGCTTGACACAAACCAATTCAGTATGATTGAAGAGATATTCTATGGGGGCTTGCATTAAAAATGCAAATAAGATGAAAAAGGTGTGCAAAGAAGATTAAATGATGACCAGGTGATTTTTTTCCAAGTACGTACTTGACAATCTAGCAAACTCAATTATTCCTCCCAATCCACATTTCATACTTATATACACATAAAACCCATTGTCTAGTGTCCTCAACGGTTTTCAAAGTTGTTATTTACACATTTTCGAGTTGACAATAATGTAGCCATAACTTTTGCTGGACTTCAGTTCATTAGTCTGTTCCTCCCTATGGTAATTTCATTATGTCTTCAACCTGCATTCTAACTCCCACTGCTACAATTAGTCATGAAATTTAAAGCTACCAGATTGTAAAGTTATGCTACCTACTACCTGCTACCCAAGGGTAATTTAACCATTAATTACTGTAGCACCAACTAACATTCCTCCCATCTAGTGAACAAGATCCTTAGAGCTCATAAACTTTCCTATATCCCTAGGTGAGTACTGTTGATCTGAGTCTGAATGTCCACACTAATCTCACAATGAATAACAGGCCTTAAATGCACCCTTTAAATTACCAGTTTCAAAGAAAATAAAAATGGGAGAGCTGAAATACAAATAACAACAGAGAAGACCCTCATAGAGAGCAGGACCTCTGTGATTCTGGTTGTTTTTATTTGGCTGCATTTGTCCATGGACAAAAAGCCTGAAGGGGCCATATACTGAATAAACACAAACATAAATTCTGCTGTAGAATTCAGTGGGACTATACTCAGAGCATAACTCTTTGAGAATTGGATCTTTCAGCAGTCAAATGTAGGGGAAATAATGGGAAGGCCACTTGTTCACTTTCTGATGTCACTGTTCATCATCAACACACACATAAAGCTTGGGGAGTGGGGGGTTGAGAGGTGCAAGTGACTTGGGTTTAAGTTCTTTTACATCTTGTAGTGTTCACAATCCCACATGATCCATCTCAACTCTTCAGTTTATAGAAAGAAAGTCTAGGATCAGGAAACAGAAAACCCAGTGTCAGGCTGATCAAGAGGAAGTGACGACTGAGGGTTTTGTATCTCCTGAGTACCTAAATCAGGACACTAATCAGAAATAGCTGTTTCTATAAAGAAATGTAGGCTTTTTTTCCAGACAGTAAAGTACTTCCTGAACAAAGAACTTTTTGCATTGCTCAGGCTTTTATTGCTTCTAAGATATTCTTTATGGAAGCATCTTTTCTTTTAAAGCATCTTTTCTTTCCTCTGTGTCTGGATATATATGTGCATATGTGTATATACATATATATATAATATTCCAAGATGCTCTTTCTCTATAAAGTGACTGAACTTATTCTTAATTGTCAAAGAAGAACTAAAGGATCTAAATGCAGGAAAGATGCAAAAGGGCATTTTTTTACATGGCCATTCTTCAGATCATTCTGCAGTTCAATGTCACTTTAGATAATTTTATTTTTCATTCTGTCCCAGTAGTGTAGTTTTCCGTTTATTTGCACTGACATTTTCTCTGTAAAGATTTTTTCTTCTTCTTTTAGAGCTTGATTGGGAAAGTTTCATGGAGTTTATGCAACTTTTATCTCAAGGAATATGTTCTGATTTATATTGTGCTTATTCTGTTGCTGACATTTGGTGACATTTTCTCTTTTGTTGACAGCTTTGTACTTCATTAAAAAGTGGGCTACTCAAGTGAAGGTGATTAATGTGCTTTGTCCAGCCTTTATCATATCCAGCACATAAAGTACTCTTCTTACTGCATTCCTGCATTAGCTTTCCTCTCTGATTGCTTCTTTTCTGCGCTGTGCTTTTCTCTATGCCCCCTTTGTGAAGCATTTTCTCTTTTGTCAGCAGTTGAATCTCTCTTTACTAATTTTTTCTAAAAGTTCAGCACTATAGCAGAACATTTTGTAGCTATTTACTTTGAAGCTGTAGGCAAGCAAAGCTTGTAACAGTATGATTTGCAAGTTCCTGTCATAAAAGGTCAAACACCCAGTCTTTCAGTCTTTGTGTTTCTCTTATTAGCATGCCAGAACTGTGATTACTAATCCTTAAAAAATTCTTAGTCCACTGACTTAAATCCAAGATATCTTTTATTCTAATAGCTGCTGCAAAGGTGAACTAGAACAGGCTTCTATGCCCAAATGGATGTGAGTAGACCTGCAGCTTCACTGCTAATGGCAGGAAATACAAAATACTACCAAAGAGCTTTCAGGCAGAGATAAATTACCTATCTCACAGTCACCAGAGATTAAACACCTGCCAAGCTGCAAATACCATTGTCTTACAACTGCAGGATCATAAACAACTGATGTTTATACCAGAATTTTTAAAAGGTGTTAAAGTTTAGGAATTAGACAATAAAATTGGTTAATTGCATCTTAGTTATTGAAAAATAAAATCTTTAAGGCTAAATTTTCCAGAGGTGCTATACTTTTTCTTCTTAACCAATGCTAGATTTCAGAATTATTTTGGTGGGGAGAGGGAAGATGGCAATTTAAGATATGAGAGCTAAGGAATAAAAGAAATTATGTTTCCTGAAAACAAAGACTTAGCAATACAGCTGGTATTCTGGACCATGTTTTTACATTTTTAACCAATGGTTTTTCAGTTTCAACTTTCATACTCAATTCAGAGTAATGGTCTCCTGTGATGCACATCAGAGAGAAACAAAAAAAATTGGAAAGTAACTGGATTTCATATCTGATCAAAATTTTACAAATTTTTCCAGCTCTTGGCAAGGTGGAAGGTATCCAGGTGGGGCTGTAGAAAGTCTCTGTGGGAGGGCCAGGGGTTGTTCAGTGCCAGACATAATCAGGTGCAATCAGCTCCAATGGACCCACAACAGGACACAAGTGAAAATATCAGCCAAGCTGATGACACCTCCATGAAAATATATTTTTAAAAAATCATAAATGACAGCACATGGAGGAGGGGAAAAAGGAGTGAGAAACAAGAGCGAGAAAACTGACGTCAGAAAAGGAGGAGCTCTGGTATCTGCCCTGCAGCTTGTGAAGGGTCCGCGCTGGAGCACAGAGGCGTTAGGAGGAAGGAGCAGTACACAGGAGCAAAGAAACTGCCATGTGCTGATGTGAACTCCTGCACCACTTGGAGTAGGGTTAGAAGAGTCAGAAATGAAAGAATGACATAGAGCATAGGAAAGGGGGTCAGGGCAGACTTGAGGCAAAAGGTGTTGATTTAACAGTTTTCTTTCTGTTTCCCACTACCCAAATTAATAAATGTCTATTTTAATTAGGAGTAGGTTACATTGTCTTTTCCCAGCTGAGCCTGTTTTGCTCGTGACAGTAACTGATCCACAATCTCTATGCCTTTATCCTGACCCATGAACTTTCTCCCTACTGTTCTTCCTCTTTTCTCCCCTCTACTCTGTTGAGGAGAGGAAGTAATAGGCCAAGTACATGTTTGACTCTTAGACAGGGCCAACCCACCGCAATGTGGAGCAAAAAACTCTGAATGCACAGAAAAGCATGATTCTAATATAGGGTTTATGGAAAAAGTGAGACAAAATGAGCCATCTGTCTTTCTTAAGTATAATTTTCCAGTATATATATATGTGCACATGTATTTTCACACTCGGGCTCCTCTCATCCATGGATCTGATAATCATTTCTAAATGAAGACTCGAATTTTTATTTGAGCAATCAACAATCTTCTTTTTCTAAACACAACCAGAATGCTTCAATTTCCTAAAAGTACTGAACAGTAGTTACACAGCATCTTTCCATGCTTATCATCTTTCCATGCTTATCATTTTACAGCTCAGAAAATGAGGATAAAAATTGTACATCTTTGGGCTCATCCATTTTGTAGAATACTAACATTCTAACCTAGTGTAACGAAATGTGCATCTCTGTGTGTCTCCTACTGGATTTACAGGCTTAATAGGCTATGAAAATAGATTAGAAAATTGAGTATGCTGCTCAATATTTGGTCTCTGATTTTTATTTCTGTTGCTTGTTCATTTAAATAATTTCCTGAATTTGAATCATTTTTATGTGTTTATATTTTGGGTTATTCTTTTCCTGTGCTTTCTCAGTCTCTGGAATGCTAATAGCTCTGAAAATGGCAGCACTCATGTGCCTTGTGCTTCTGTTTGTAGCACCAGTGGTAATACTACATGTTTGTCAGCATCAAAATAAATCCCACAATAGGCTTGTTCAATCAGATTTTGACACAGAGAACTGACACTGAAAACAACATGCAGCTTGGTTTTGACTTAAACAATAATTTCCAAAAGAATGGATATATTCATACTTGTGGAAGTTCCCCTTTTGAGTAATAGCTTACCTTCTGTGAAGCCGCTGGCAACTGAAGAACATACAGGTACCAATCTCAGTCTTCTCTGCTGGTTATCACCGTTTCTGGAATACATAAAAGAAAATTATCTCTGTGACATTGCTGAATATCTTTCTTGCTCCAGCAAAGTGGAAGAAAAAGGAGATATTGAAGACTTATATTTTGGGCCTTCTAGAAATGAGGACACATTGCCATCCAACAGGACACTGAAAGCATCAGGAAATAAAAAATCTGTCAGAAGTTCTGCTTCTACAATTTCATGACAAGGCTAAGAAGCTATTGCCCAAGATTTTCCTGTCCATTGACATTCTATTGACAATTTAACATTCCTCTGCTGTGGGACAAGTTCAGTTATTGATAATCTGTCCCTATGATTTGTCCCTTGACAAATATCCTATATGTCCAAATATCCTATAATTTCAAATGACAAATGCCCCTAAATAATTTTTTTTTTCAATGGGCACAATTAACATATTCAGCCATTAACACATCCATATAAGCATCCAGTCATGTTCTCTAACACCTGCTTACTGCTCAACCCTGTCAGCAAGAGGAGGGGCTGGCAATCTAAGGCTGTGCTGGTAAACTGAGTTCTTTCCCCCACACTAACCCCTGTACCTACATGTACATTCTCACTCTGAAGATGAACTCTAAAATAAAATGCTGTTCTATTGTTTGCTAGTTTGGGATACAAATTGCATCCTAGAACTATGATCACATGAAGGTCAAAGATCCCAGACATATCATGAATTGGCCCATATTAACGTAAAAAAAAAAAAAAATTGCAGTAGAAGAGGACTTTGTAGAGATATTGTGAGGGTAAATTGATGACTGGAATGTGCAATTGCTTTACACTTTCTTTAGCATTAATTTTGTTTCTGTTTTCTCGTGAGAAGCACAAATTATATCCCTGGCTACCATTTAAGTGACATTTTGCAGATCATATAAAGTTATATAAAAAACTTATAAAGTACACTTGTGGAATAGGCTTAATTCCAGCTTGATCCATTCCAAGAAATTGCACTCTCTCCATAAATCATGATTTATAACTTTTCCCATTAAACCTTAAGGTTTCCACAACAGCTGTCTGGTTTTAATTGCATAGCCTTTTCCAAATTAAACCATTAAAACTTGCTTGTTTTCTCCTAATGTATGTTTAAACTGATCTTTACTTTTGCAATATTGAGTAAAAGCCATCATACTGAAGAAATGTCCAATATTTACATATTTATAATGCCAAGGGTCATTCTAGCGACAATTAATCACAAGAATTTTCATTTTATGGTACTGCTTACATTGTGTTAGAATTAAATTGCCACAGGTAGTGGAATTAAAAAAGAAAATTGAACAGAATTAATTTTTGTGATAATTCTAAAAAAAATGTGTTAGGCTGGATAGTATTTTAACTGATTGGAAATAGAGAATTAATCTTTCCAAAGCAAAGTTCTTTTAAGCCAGAAGTAAGGAGCTCTAAAGGGTAATATGATTAAATCTTCTCTTGATTTACACTCTGAGTGTGTTTATCTAAGTACAATCTAAGAAATATCTTAGTAACATCAGTTACATTAATAGGGTTAAATGAGCTAAAAAATGCCAGATTCACATTTAGTGTAAATTTGGTCTGGTATTTCTTAACTTTGGAGATTTATTAATAAACATAAAACACAACTCTCTGCTACTCATCTATATAATAATATTTCCTAGCCCAGAGCCTCAACAGATTTGTTTTATTTCTGGGGCATACGAGAACATATTTCAATTCACGTCTAAAATTATCTTTACACTGTCATTAATTACAAACATTGAATTTGCATGTGTGTCTTCTACATTATTCTTGTTCCTCAGCAGTAATCCAAATTAACTGTATCACTCTGATCAAATATGCCAGCCATCCATAGTGATCACATGCATCTGACTTTTTTCTTTGGGGGGGTGGTGGTAGTTTTTTTTATTGACTACCAAATGGCAAGTGAAGTAACAGTACATTAGAATAAATCTTATGCAAGCAATTTATTCACAAGTTATTTAACTAACTGGACATCTCATGGGCCAGCCAGCATTATTGTGCTTAAGTAAGGGAACAGTGTAGTACAAGAATATCTTTGGGATTATACAAGAGAGTGGTTTGGTGTGCTTTTTTAGGCTGCAGCTGGGTTAAGACTATACTGTTTCTCCACTCCTCATCACTCTTTCCTTCCCTTCCCATCAACATTCCCTCAGGTCTATTGGCTTAACCTGGCTATCAGCACTCAGCACTAGCATAAGCTAACAGTAGGAGTGTTGTCTAACCCAGATAATTTCACAGAAGCAAATTAGTAGTGAGTGGGTGTGCTCCTAGGTCAGCAAATAAGTAGTGATAACTCTCACAAGGGGTTGATAATTCTCACAGATGATGATGTCATAGAAGAAGCTATTAACCAACTTTTTAAACAGCTGAGCCACATCTGAAACAATGCATCTGACTGCAAACTCAGAAATATTGTGATTCAGCTATTTTGAGAATAGCTGTCAGATGCAACTGGAGATTGCAAAGGGCCACACAAGTTCATTATAGATGATACATTATTGTCCCACTAGATAATACAGCTATGTATCTTTGTTTTTAATAATTCATTTGTTGGACATTCATTATTAAATTAACTTTGTTTTTTGTTTTCAAACAATTCCAGGGTCAGTCCTGAGAGTCTCATCTATATTTTTTGAATATTCATTCTTCAAAGAGGAAAATACTGGAAATTTCTAAAACACTAATATTAATAAATATTAGCACTAATATTAATATTATTATGTATTTTATTACATAAGTGTCAACATTATATGGTTTGACTCTAACTAAACAGTGATTTATAACCAGAAAGGCTTTAAGTTTTGGGATTTTTTTCACTTTGACCTTCAGTCATTAACAGTTCTAGTGCTAAATGACACAGATGCTGTAAGTTGTATCATATTTTTTGTATTTCAGTCTAGACAAATGGCAGGAAAAGGAAGCAGCTGTATTTTCTCTGAAAGCCTGAAGGCATTGTTTCTTAGATTGCAAAAATTCTTATGATGGACAGGTTCAGATTTCAGCGATAGTCCTACAAACTGTTGCAGCAACAAATGAGCTTGGATTCACCTACAGAACACTTAATATCAAAGAAGATAAAGACATTAGAATTACTTTGTGACATAATGAGAGTTTTCAACTTCCTCTCAGTGTAAGCACTACTTGTGAACAATTTATTAAATCAGAAAATCTTTCAAGGAAATCAAAAGTAATTTGAGATCAACAACAAAATTTTTTACACGATTTGGTCTCAAAGATTTTATGAATGATTGGAGTGCTTGAAAAAGGACTCTGTTCTAGAAGGCTCTTGCTGCATCCAGAGCAGCACGGGTAGCAGGGGAGGGAGGAGATTCCACCCCTCTGCTCTGCTCTGGTGAAGTTCCACCTGCAGTGCTGCATCCAGCTCTGGGGCCCCCAGCACAGGGAGAACATGGATCTGTTGGAGCAAGTCCAGAGCAGAGACATCAAGCTGATTAGAGAGATGGAGCACTTCTCCCGTGAGGAAAGGCTGGGAGAGAAGATAAAGTTCCAGGAAGACCTTATTGCAGCTTTACAGCATCTAAAGGGGGCTCATAAAGAGACAGGTAGAAACATTTCAGCAGACTGTTAATGTTTTAAACTAAAGTAGGGTAGATTCAGGGTACATGCAAGGAGAAAAATGTTTACAATGAGGGCAGTGAAACACTGGCACTACCTGGTTCCCAGGTAGATGCCTTCACCCTAGGAACATTCAGTCACATTGGAGAGGGCTCTGAGCAACCTGATCTAGTTGAAGATGCAGGAGGGTTGTTTTAGATAAACTTTAAAGGCTGCTTTCAACACAAACTCTTCTATGATCTATCCAATTTTCTATTGGATTAAATAAAAATATCTTCTCTGAGGTCAGTTGCTGATGAGACAGCACAGACCTAAGCATTTTGATATTAATGTTACTTCTCTTCAAGTCTATGTATGAAGAATTTGGATGCAATAGAAATGTCATTCCGTGAAATTTGTGAATTACACACAATAGGACTGGAAGGGATTATAACCTTTCTGGGGAAAACAGGTTAATGAGAAACTACAGAGCAAGTTATAAAAAAGCTATAGAAAAGTAAAGTCTTTTTTAATGCAATGAAGCAGCAATTTTGATGAAAGAAATCCATCTTTAGGAGAAATTTAATGAGATAAACAGTGGCACTAATACTTTGTTAAGGCTATAACTGCATGGTGTAATGACCACTTGGTAAAGTACTGCATGTTAAATTGAATGTGCTGGTTAAGATCCACATGGTATAGGAATTGTTATACAGTGTAAGAAAAGTGGGAATTTCAGAATACCACAACTAGTGAAACTTGTGGTGTAGAAGAGGAAACTATATAGAAGTTAGAATAGATTAGTAAACATATTATTGCTGAGACTCTCTAGAGTAGTATAATGACTGAAAATTCTGCTTTTATGAGAAAATATATGAAATAATATAAAACCATCTGCCCAACCAGAATAAGCATTCTCCAAGAATCATCCTTGATTTTCAATATTGTTTGGGCATATTCAACTGTAAGCCTTATGTGCTTTAAAGAGGTAACTTTAAAATTATTTTCTTCTGAAACAGCCTCAATCCTCAAATTAATGGAAAGATCAGCACGTTTCAAGACATGCAATTGGACATTTGGGGTGATTAAAAAGAAAATTGCTGATATGCAATAATAACATACACTATCTGAATTGCAACATGTGTAGGCCATTTGTGAAGTTACCCAAACTGTTTAAGCACCTTTCTTTAGTGAACCTTCCAATTTGTACAAGCACAAGCTTTTTGCAACTAAAGAAAAAGTGAACATTTGGATCTGCATACAAACAGATGAAAGAGTAATCTGGAAGGGTAATACTTGGCATAGTTATAAACACACGGATGATAAAGCTGCAGTGGTGAGGATATCATGAGATACAGCCAACTGACAAAGCAATGGAATAAGGCATAAAATTTTATATTATAAAC